AAGGACGCATTGACAAAGGAGATTAATCAGAACTGGCTTTGACAAGCACTGTGGCAATTGGACAATTAAAACAGAAATTCGGGAGGGGAGAAGAAAGAACTGGGGAGGAGGGTAGAGAAAACAGTGCAACAATGAATGAATGAAAACCCAAAATCTCTGTAAATGTTCACTAAAACTAATAAAATTTAATAATAATTTTAAAAAAATCCATCAGTGGCTCCTTGAGAGAAAGATGAAGAAAAAACCTAAAGCCATTTAAATTCTATTTACTTTAAAAATCTAGAATCAAACTCACTGTATCTGCAGGCAAAGGATCTGCCCCTATAAAGATTTCAGCCTAGAAAACCCTCACAGACAATTGCACTCAGTTCTAACTATGAGTTGAAATTGACTTGATGTCACTTAGCAATAACAACAAACAACTATAAAAAAGAATATACGTAGCAAACTTTCATCCACCCACTCCTACTCCTCAAATTATAGAAGCCTAGGAATTCACATCTTCAAGCATAGTTCCCAGGGGGCTTGTAAGATCAGGCAATTCCCTGAGAAAGAGTATGAGAAGTCTGTGTAAACCAAAATCAGATACAAGTGCAAAGCCATTATCACTTGTATGTAGTAATCGCTGCTGTCATTTTCTTTAAAAAAGTGGTTTTCCTTTCAACTTTTTGTACAGATTTTGTTTCATGACATTAATTTTATGACTTACTTTTTCCAGCAGATATTCCTGGTGTGTTCTAAGCCTGGACTTTCCCGTTAGCAGCTCATCGTCTGCTGTGTTATTCAAAGATTGTTGTTGTGTTGAGTTGGAACTAACTCATAGCTGATCCTCCAGAGTGTTTTCAGAGTCAGTAAGTTTTATGTTCAGTACTGCTCTCCAGGGCCACAACTTGAAAACAGCAAATGTTCTATCATCATTAGGCATCGTCCAGCTCTCTGATGCACAGCAAGTAAATCCAAAAAATCCTGGTGTGGAAGTTCTGTCTCACATATTTTGGGCATGTTGCTAGGAAAGACCAGTCCTTGGAGAAGGACATCATACTTGGAAGGGTGTAGGGACAGTACAAGAAATACGATAGATTAACTCAGTGTGACTGCGGTAATGGGAGTAGGTTTGTTGGAGATAATTGTATCAAGATAGAGTCAAGTTCAGAGCTATTATATACAGGGTTGCTATGAGCCATAAGCAACTTGGCACATAACAACAAGTTACGTAGAAGAAATTGCTCATTCTTCTTCTGGTGAGCAGCTGGCTTAGATTTGAACTGTGTCCCTTTGGGATTACAGCCTAAGAAAACCTGTAGGATTCCTTTTACTCTGTTCTATAGGGTCCTCATGAATCAGAATTATCTAGATGGTAGTGAGTTTCGGCTGGAACCTTGGTAAATCGCTGGTTAAGTTCTTTCTTAAAGGACTCACATAGGGTGCTCATAGAGCACTGGATTGTTAACTAAAGGTTAGTGGTGCCATGCTACAAACAGTCAAATGAGAGAGAGATCTGGTGACCTGCTTCTGTAATTAGTACAGCAAAAGGGGGGGGGCAAACAAAAACCAAAATACTCTAGGACACAGCTCTTCTCTGTCATGTGAGTCCACTATTAGTTGGAGTCACCTTAAAGGCACACAGCAAGGGTTACCTTAATTTCCAGTTCACATTTGGAAAAGCTTGTTGTTGTTGTTGT